CGCCGGCGCGTCGGCGGCGTACTTCTCGCCTTCGGGGGCGACGCTTGCCATCGTCGCGTGCGGCGCTTCCGTCGGCGGCGCGCGAGCCGCTTGCTGCCTTCCTCTCAGCGGCTCAAAATCGCGACGCGTCCTAGGCGCTAAACCATCTTTCAGACTACTTTCAGACTCGTTGAAGTGAAACGCCAACAAAATTAGGCGCCGCCGTCCGGCGGCGGCGGGGGCGCCGACGGCGGTCCGCGATAACTCAGCTCGTCGTCGTCGTCGTCGTCGAGGCCGCCGGCGGCGTCCGGCGGCGGCGGGCTCGGCGTCGACGGGGGCTCCGGGGGCGGCGGCGACGAGTCCCCGGCCTTCTTGCCCAGCGACGCCTTGAGCTTCAGCGCCGACGCCCGGGCCTTGCTGGCGAAGAGCTTCGTCTTCGCCTTGGTCTGCTCCGCGAGCTTCGCGGCCTTGGCCTTGGCGTCCGCGACCGTCCGCTTCGACTCGTCGTTGTCCTTTCTCCGCGGCTCCGCGTCCTTCTTCGGCGCCTCGAGCCGGCTCCCGAACAACAGCCGCACGTCGGCGATGACCGGCGGCGCGTCGTGCGCGTCGTCGAAGACGAACTCGACGTACGCGAGGCCGCAGTTCCGGAGCTTGCGCGTCGCGAGCGCCGCCGCGGCCGCGGGCTGCTTCTCGCGGACGTTGTCCGACAGGAAGCGCTCGAAGAGGCCCCGGATGAACATGCTGTGGCCGACGATAACGGGCTTGCGCCGCCCGCCGCAGAGCGACTCGTACTGGAGCTCGCGGCAGAACTCGCCGTAGCGGAGCGCGACTTCGGGGCCGGTCTCGTAGTCCGAGCCGCCGACCCACCACTGGGCGTCGCAGTCCCGCGACACGAGTTTCGGCGCGCAGACCGCGGCCGCGGCGTGGGACGCGGCGCCGAGCACGGCCGCCTCCTTGGCGACGGGGCTCGTGACGCCCGCCTCGTCGTCCGCGCCGGCGACGAGCGCGGCCGCGAGCTTGCGCTCCACGCGCTCGCCGATGTTCGCGGCGCCGACCTCGAGCCCGACGCAGTCCAGGCCCCCCATGCCCTTGATCTCCCGCGCCGTCGCGTGGAGCTCCAGCACGTCGAGCGCCGGGTGGCCGTGCAAACCGACGAGCGCCGTCTGCACCGCGCGCGTCAGCGGCGAGGACCAGACGCCGTCCGCGCGCAGGAGCAGCCCCAGCGCCTCGTCGTCGTCGGCGTCGAGCCCCAGGGACGCGTCGGACCGCGCCCGGCCGTCGTCCTCGGGCTCGCGCGCGCCGACGCCCGACCGCACGGGGCCGAGCGGGACGGGCGGCATCTCGTCCGCGGCGACGCTCAACTCCGCGTCCCGGAACGCGACGCCGCCTAAACTCGCCGCCCAGGCGCGCTTCCACGTCGCGTTGAGCCGCGCGGCCTGGCGCACGCCCGCGGGCGTCAGCGCGTGGTCGCGGTTCATCACCATCGCCGCGTAGTCGCCGCCCGCCTGGGCCTCGTTCCAGCACGACTCGCCGTGGCGGAGCACGAGGCAGCCCACGCTCCGCCGGCCCAGGGCCGCCGGCAGGGGCGCGCGGCGGAGCCAGAGGGCGCAGGGCAAACCGCCGCTCCGGTGCTTCGCGTGCGCGAGGTCGACCGGGAACGGCCTCGCGTCCGCCGCCAGGTCGCCGACGGCCACCCGGCACTCGCCGAGGTAGTGCGACATGGTCATGACCGTCGCGTCGAAGAGCGCGCAGCTCAGGACGTCGCCGGGTGCCGCCGCTTCCGCGACGCGGGCCCACGCGCGCCAGACCGGCGCGGACGCGTTGGGCCGGCCGCTCACGGCCTTCTCCGGCGTCGACCCGGGCGGCGGCGGGGGCTGCTGGTGCTCCTCGTAGTTCTTGCGCGCCTCGTCGAGCTTGGAGGACGCGCGCGCCGCGAGCTTCGTCGCGGACGCCGCCGCGGACGCGCGCGCTTTCGACGCCGCGGCCTTGGCGCGCGACCAGCGGCTCCCGCCGCCCGCCGGCGCGGGCTCGGGCGCGGCCGCGGGGGGCGGCGCCGGCGCGTCCTCGTCCCAGCACTCCGTCGACGCCGCGCGCTGCGGCGCCGGCGTCGGGGCGGCGGCGGCGAGCGCCGACGCCGGCTCGAGGTGCAGCTTCAGGTAGGGCGACCGCTTCTTCTCGCCGTCGCCGTCGCGCAGCGGCAGGCCCGTCGCCCGCACGACCTCGATGACCAACGGCGCGGCCATGGCTGGGGGTGGTGCGACGCGGGCCGACGCCTCAGGCCACGACGCCTCGGCTGCCTGTCTGAGCTGACGTTTCTCCACTAATTCAGCGAGAGGTTTGCCGCGCTGTCCGCCGAGGGGAGGCCTCGAGTCGAGCTGCCGTCCTCTCCCGCCGCGTCGTCTTCCGCCCGCCCAGAAGACGCGGGCGACGCGGGCGAAGCCTCGTCCCTCATGACTTCGCGCGTGCGCCCGAGCGAGACGCGCCGCGCGACGGACATGGCCATGGACGAGGGCCTCCTCACGGGCGTGGGCCTCCAGAACCCGCTCCACGGCGGGTCGTCCCTCAACGACGCGCCCCCGAGCAGCCTCGCGGACGCGCCGTCGAAGGGGAGCGTCGTGCGCAATTTCCTGCTCATGAGCCTCTGCTTCAGTCTGAACCACGGCACGGTGACCGCGCTCATCTCGCTCGCGGGCTCGGAGCTCGGCGCGAGCCTCGGCAACACGAGCCTCGGCGTGCTCTACTTCGTCTACACGTTCACGGCGGCCTTCGCGAGCCACAGCGTCGTCGCTCTGTTCGGTGCGAAGCGCACGCTCGTGCTCGGGCTCGCGGTCTACTGTTGCTACGTCGCGAGCTACCTCGTCGCGTACTTCGTCGAAGCGGCCGCGCGGCCCGCGGTCTTGGTCGGCGCGGCGCTCGGCGGCGCCGCCGCGGGCTTCCTCTGGCCGGCCCAGGGCGCCTACTACGCCAAGTGCGCCGAGCGCTACGCGGCGGCCGCGGACGTGACGCGCGAGCAGGCCAACTCGACGCTCGGATCCTACTTCTCGTGCTGCTACCTCGCGTGCGAGGTGCTCATGAAGCTCTGCTCGTCGCTGCTGCCCCTGGCCGTGCCCGGGGAGTCGACGAAGATCCTGTACGTCGTCTACACGGCCGTCGCCTGCGGGTCCGCGTTTTTTATGTCCTTCGTGGCCGACGTCGACCCGCCGGCGCGCGACGGCGCGCCCGTGAATTTCGGCAAGACGGCGCTGAGCGCTTTGTCGCTGCTGACGACGGACGCCAAGTGCGCCTGCATGATCCCCATGAACTTCGCCTTTGGCTTCGGCGCGTCGTACCTCAACGGCTACTTCATGTCGGCCGTCGTCGCGCCGTCCGTCGGCGAGGACAAGATCGGCTACCTGTCGTCCGTCGTCGTCGGCTCCGCGGCGCTCCTGGCGCTGCCCCTGGGCGCGCTGGGCAAGGCGCTGGGCCGCCAGGCGCCCGTCGTCGCGCTCGGCGCCTGCTGCTTCGGGACCTTCGCGGTCGCGAATTTGGCGCTCGCGCCGGCGGCGCTCGGGTCCTGGCCCGCGCTCGTGCCGCTCGCGGTCGTCTTCGGCTGCGGCCGGTCGACCTGGGAGACGAACTTCAAGGCGACCTTCGCGGACTACTTCCCGCACGCGAAAGAGGCGGCCTTCGCGAACGTGCAGCTCCAATCGGGCGTCGCGTCGACGATCGGCTTCTTCGTCAACCCGCGCATCACGCCGGACCAGCTCGGCTACGTCGCGCTGACCTGCTCCCTCGCCGCCGTCGGCGCCCAGTTCGCCGCCGCGAAGCTCCACGCCAAGGCCGCCAAGGAGCCGGGCTACGGCGCGCTCCGCGGCGACGCGACGATGGCCTAGGGGGGGCGGTTTTTTCCCCTCGTAGTAACCTTTTGGGCTTCCGAAGGAATTCAAGTAGGAGTCCTCACTTGAGTCCTCCGTCGTCCGAGTCGACGCCGCTCCGCGGCGGGCGTTTTTTTTCCTCGTAAAACTTACGCCTTGGGCGCCCACTCGTCGACGCTCTTGAAGCGCGTCGGCCGCTTCTTCGGCGGCGGCAGCGCCGCGTTCTCGGGCTTCGGAAACGGCGCGAGCGCGGCCTTGGACCGGCGCGGGGGCTTGCGGCGCTCGGGCAGGTTCTCGACGTAGGCCTGGAAGGTCGGCTCGGACTGGGACGCGAGGAGGGGCCGCTCCGGCTCCGGCTCGGCCTCGGGCTCGGCCTCGGGCGCGGGCGGCGGCGCGGCCGCGTCGCGGAACGCGGCCGCCGCGTCCTCGGCCGCGCGGCGCCGCGCGGCCGCGAGGCGGTCCGCGGCGAGCTTCGCGCGCCGGTCGCGGTCGCGGCTCCGCTTGGCCCGCTCGAGGGCGTCGGCCGCGTCGTCGGCCGCGCGCCTCGCGGCGTCGCGGTCGGCCTGAGCGCGA